CCCTTTTTCCACAAAACAATCCACAAAAATTTTTTTTAAAGAGAGAAATATCAGTTGGTGTTTTTTTATTTCCTTTAGCATCCTGATTTCATGTAGCTTCTTTCTGTATTCATTCTTCATGAAAAACAAAAGTTAGGTCTCAAGACCAGACCTAAAATTGGTCCACACCAACTGAACGTTCTTCAGCAGTGAAACACTTCCTGGCACTGCGGGACCTGAGATAAGGTTGAGGCTTAGTAAGTGCTGATGCTAAGCAGAATTACCTACAGGGAAGGTGAACCATAAATTTAGCTTTTATCCACTTCAGTGTCTTCAGCTGGGACTGAAACAACATTCATTCCTTTGAGGACAGTCATTCACTAGTTCAAACAGGTATCACTAGTTCAAAGCTAAAATCTTCATTCTGACCTCCAGTGATAATTTTCCATTTTGTTTAAGAAAAGCATTCGGGCCTAGCCATTTTTGCTCACTGGGTTAGAGTGTCAGCTCGTGGACTGAAGGGTCTCAGGTTTGATGCTGGTCAAGGACATGTACCTTGGTTGTAGGCTCGATCCCCCCGCCCAATCAAGGCACCTATGCAAGGCAGCCTTATTGATGTGTGTCTCTCTCTCTCACATCGATGTTTCTCTCTGACTCTCCCCCTCCCTTCCACTCTCTCTAAAAGTCAATGAAAAAATATCCTCAGGTGAGGATTAACAAAAAAAAAGAAAAGCATATGAAGTCTTCTGTGTCTGTGTGTCCATGTCTCTTCAATGTGCATAAAACCCCTTACATCTATTTAACGTGCAAGGAAGAAGAATAAGATGAGGTTTCGGCTTATATGAAAACAAGTATAGGTGTGCAATGTTTCACCATTACTATTTCTACCATCATCCTTTTCGAACACATAATTTAATTCAGAGGCTAGTAAGACCTTATCACTGAGGAATAAACTGACAAACTTCATGAAGATTAAAAGTTTTCTCTCCTCTTCACTATGGCAGGTAAATAAATCCATCACCATCGTGGCTAGCTTCTTTTCTATGCGTCATCGGGAATGCCATTGCACTCCTGAGATTAGAGAAACGTGATAAAAGTCATTGCCACAAAGTCATTACGACAGTCATAAATGCAGCGTTAGGTAAAATAAAGTCAGCCGCCTGTACAAATGAGTAGTGTGTGTGTGTGCGTGTGTGTGTGTGTGTGTGTGTGTCTGTGCGCGCGCGCGCCCGAGGAAAAAGTGAGTAAAAGGTAGGTTAGGAGATTCCATCCCACTGCTGAAATAATAACCAACGGCATGTTTTCCAAAGAATGTAAAATGGATATAAAATATCATTTTCCTGTGAGAAGGACACCAGCATATTTTCTTTATTTTTTTTTTAATCCTACAGGAGGATACTTTCCCATTGATTTTTAGAGAGAGTGGAAGGGAAGGAGGAGGGAGAGGGAGAGGAAGATGAGAGAGAGGGGGGGGGGAGAGAGAGAGATTGGCTGCTTCCCACAGGCACCCTGACCCAGGCCAAATGGAGCCTGCAACCCAGGTAGGTGCCCTTGACCTGGAATCAAACCTGAGACCCTTCAGTCTGTGGGCCGATGCTCTAACCACTGAGCAAAACCAGCAAGGGCCGGCATATTTTCTATTTTGCGACACAAACATATCATATGTTTAGTCATTGGGAGAAAGGCAAAATGTATTTGGAATACAACTTAGCCCTGACTTTATATGAAAGAAACATTATTCTTCCCTTTCCTAAAATTACTGCACGAAGCCAAAAATACTCTAAAAGTAGCCACATCTTGTTTTGTGAAGTCTTATTACTTTCCTAGATGCTCCTAAACCATCCATGTGCTACATGACTCCCCCCAAATACATACATGTCATAAATCACATGTTGGCCTCAGAAATGGCATTAACAGTGAGAAATGAGACAAGTGTTCTGCTTACAGCTTCTCTGGTCCCATCTAATCATGTCTCCTGATTCCTTCCATCTTAGCCATCAAGGAGAAACTACTTAGAAACTTTCGTCCCCATTAGATTTTTCCTCTTCTGTTTGTTCTTTCCACTCCCAGTCTTTTTTTGTTGTTATTAATCCTCACCCAAGGATATTTTTTCCATTGGTTTATTTTTTGAGAGAGAGAGAGAGTAAAAGAGAGGGAGGGGAGGAGAGAGAGGGAGAGAGAGAAACATCAATGTGAGAGAGACACATTGATTGGTTGCCTCTGGCACGACGCCTCCAACTGGGGCTGGGGATCAAACCTGCAACCCAGGTACCTGGACTGGGAATAGAACCAGAGACCCTTTGGTGTGTAGGCCACCACTCTAAACACTGAGCACACCATCCAGGGCTCCACTTCCAGTCTTTTAACATCAACTCCAGTCTTAGATTGCATTCGTGTTATTAAAAATAAATACAAAGAAACTCCAAAAAAAAAAAAACCAAGGAGATGACGTGCATTATTGCCACACTTAAGTAGCAATGAGTTCTCTCAGGGCTCTCTCCCCTGACAACAGTAGCCCTAACCTGCAGCGCCCTCAGAGGTGGCCACGAAACCTAGTTAGCTACATGATTCACCAGCTAACGTGGATTTCCTTTCCTTGTGTTTTTCTTTGCAAAGCTATGTCCAGACGATCTCTCTTGTTATCAGAACAAGGGATCAAAACCTGAAAATTGTACTTGCCAGAGCTCAATAAAAAATGAAATTACCAGCAGAGCCTGCTGGAAGTTGTCCCAAAGGTTATCTGATTCCTATCACATTTTTTTCTCTAAACATGATTCCTTGTATGCTTTCACACATTGCTGTAAATGTAGCTAATCATTTAAAAGACTAAACTAATAACACTAACATTCAATCATTTAAAGTGGTTTGACTTCGGGTGGCGGGCACGCAGTGCAATATACAGATTTTTGTATCATGGAAGTGTATGCATGAAACCTATATGATCCTATTAACCAATGTCACCCCCATAAATTTAATTTTTAAAAGTTATTTTATGTTGGCAAAATGAACTAAAAGAGACACATCGTTATAAACTGAGAGTCCATTCTGACAATCTCACTGGCTAGGGCGCCTTATATATGTTAATAAGTCTCCAGAATGAACCCCAGCATTAAATGACACCGAAACCTCATTTTGAAAACATTCTCATACAAAATGTTGGGGGTGTCCTGGTTTTCTGTTTTCTCAAAGGTAGATATGCCTGGAACTATCAAAACATCCCGTCTTATCCCTCCCTCCCACCCCAACTCTTATAAATGTCCTATGCCTCAACAGTTCATAAGAGTACTACTTTCCTCTCTCGTTCCATAAATAGGGTGGGGCAAAGGTAGGTTTACAGTTGTTCGTATGGAAAATAATACAATAAATAATAAGACAAGAATAAACTCTTATGTTTCGCGTAATCACAGCTGTGAACCTACTTTTGCCCCACCCTGTATGTGGGACTTTAGTGCCATCTTATCAGAAACTCTGGGATCAAATCGAAACTATTCATTTTCAAGATTTAATGTAAAGAGATTTAATGTTAAATGTGCTATCACTACATTTAACTTTAAAATGAAAGTAAAAGGTTTTTTTCTCAATTGTTAAAGCTATAGAAAAATAAGCAGACATGCTTCCTTTGACTGGAGTTCTACCAATCACCTCAACCTCAGTGCTATCGTAACCACGGAAATTATTTAAATGCTAATGTGACAGATGCAAGGAGGACGATTCTGAGCCAGAAACTTTGTCCAGAGACATCACAGTGTCTACAAGAAGCTACTGAATACTGCTCTAAGAGCTCTGAAGAATCTATTCACATCAAAATGAAAAAACCCTAACGGGCAGTGAACACTTTAACACAGGTAATACCCTAACTCCAAGTCCCAGGTACAGGAAAAAGGGAAGTACGGTACAATGCAGGTCTCTAAGGGAAGGAAGTGCTCCAGGATTTAAGACAATGTGTTTAGTACAGCCCACGAGTAACGATTTCTTCTTAGGAATAACTTTCTCCTGCCCTGAAGTGAAATGGGAAAGAACCGGGGACGGTAAACCAAAGGTAACTGCTCTTCACTGTCGAGACTGGAAAGAGCTTGCTGCAGGCAATCATGCTGCGCAGCTTAGGCCTCGAGGATGGAGGGGTGGCAAAAACACAAGTTTTACAAGGTGCTGGAAATTTATGCTTTAGGATGGTAGACCAGAGGTAGAACGGCTTCCTTCGTCTTTCACGCCAAGTTCAGGGTTGGTGTGTGGGTGTGTGTGTGTGTGTGTGTGTGTGTGTGTGTTCTTTTGTTCTTTACTAACTTCTTCCTTTAATAACTGTTTGCTGCAGTTTGCTGATGTAGTTCTCGGCCCCTGCCTTCCTCGGGTGACTCTTATTAACGGACTGGCAAAGGCTGGGTGAAATGCACTTAAGAAAAAAGAAATCACCTGTCCTTGCCAAGACGCACATGCTGCCTTGCCCAGTACCTGAGCGAGAGCTGCGCTGTCGCCGGCCAAGAGGAATCCCAGTTTAACCTCTGCCTCCCCCTTCCGAGCCCACGGCAAATAGCTGTGCCGCTAGCGGAGGATCTGCCTGACTCACCCCCACTCGCGGCGTGCCAGCGAGAGATGTGGAGGCTCCGTGTCGGAGCCGGCAGGGAAGGGGGAGCCGAGGTCTCGGTGGCACCCACAGCGCCCCAAGCCTCCCTCGCTCGTGGGCTGGGGCAGGTTCCCCCTCCAGCAGGTGCCCCGTCGCGCCGGGACCACCCAGGCTCACGGAACACACGTGTCACGGCGCCGGCCCAGCAGAGCGTACGCTGGCCCCACGGTCCCGGCCACCACGCGGGGCTCCGCGAAGGGGGGCCCTGCCGAGGGGGAGTGCCGGGACCACGCGAACGCCTCCTCTACCCGCTGAGAACAAGGGGAAAAGTACTTTTCTGCGGAAGCAGCTTTCGCACTCCCCCGGCGCCCAGCCCAGGGGATGCCCAGCCCGCAAGTGACCTCTCCCAGCCTCCGGGGAGCGCGCCCGCCCGGCCCCGCCGACCCAGCCGTGCGCTCACCTCCTGGGGTCCGGCTTCCGTCGCTCCTCCAGTTTGGCGGCCGAGTGTGGGGCTGCAGCGGCCACCGCCGCCGCCGCCTTCGCTGCTACCCCGGCCGTAGTTGCCACCGAAGCGCTGCCCGGGGCTGGGGGCCCGCGGGATCCGGGAGGTGCGGGGCCGGGCGCGGCGGGGCCGAGCCGCGGGAAGTTGTCGGCGCGAGGCGCGGAGCGGGCGGGGAGCGAGCCGCCCGCGTCCAAGTAGTCACAACTTTGCCGCCGGGAGGGTGCGGGCTCCGGGCCGAGGGAGGCGAGAGCCGGGCGAGGGCGCTGGGGCGGGCGCGTCTCCGGAGCCGGCGGGACTGGCACCTGAACCGCCCGCGAGGACGGGGCAGGAGGCGGCGCGGGGGGCAGATGTCTCCCCGGCCCGCGTGGTGCGCGGCGGGCGAGCGCTGGAGAGCGTCTACTCTAGTCCGCCGGGCGCAGCTCCCGCATATCTATGGGGCTCTCCGCCGCTCCTGCCGGGAACTAACACTGCAGCGGCGGTGCGCGGCCGGGCGCCCCTCGGGAGCCAGCCAGGGGACGGGGACTCGGGGAAGGCGGCCGTGGCGGAGCCTGTGCCACGAGCGCGAGCCCGCGATCCATATTTAAAGCCGCGAGCGGCCTCGGCCAGCCCCCTGCCCTGCCCTCGCTCGCGCCCGCCCGGCCGGCCCCCGCCGCTCTGGGCCGCCGCTGGGCGTCAGCAGCCCGGGCATCCGCGGCGACGGGGAGGGGCTTCGGGCCGCACCGCCTCCGCCGGGGGCTCGGGCTCCGCGCGCAGCGCCCGCCTGGAGCTGGCGGGGTCCCTGCTCCCGACCCGGCGCCCTCGCCTCCCTCGGTTCCTGCTCCCTCGCGCCCTGAGCGGGCTGCTAGGTCTAGCTTTCTGTCCAATTCACAAGCGCTCCCCTCTGGGAAGAGCTTAGGAACTCGTGCAGAACTGAAGTTGCTCGCGTTTCCCAGCCCCTAGTCACTCTCGACGCTACTTGGTAAAACTTGAGCCGTGTAGGTAGAGGGAGGGCTGCTGGCACACAGTATGGCCTTCGTTCCCCTTTGCAGGTCTGGGATGAGCATGGTTCTCAACCTGCCCTTCGCTTATGTCTCTGATGGCTTCTGTCTCCCTTGAGCAGTTTGGGAAACATCTTTAGCCATCCAAGGGAGTTTCTTGAGCGTACAAAGGGATTATTTACGTTTACTCTGTTCCTCAGGCTAATTAAGGAGGCTTAAGCGCCCTTTGTCAAGCAAATAATACTAATAATATATCAATGACCCAGCCCGATTACCATCAGTTAAGTAAACCATTAAACCCTATGAACAGACTGTCAAGGCGGGCACCACTGCTAGAGAGTAGCCATTTAATGGATTTGAACCGCATGGCATATATGTAGTGCAGAAGTCAATGACCAAATAGGACTTTCAACAGTACCCACCAAAGCACATAAAGGCCAAGATAAATAAGTTTCACATACTACCTGTTCCTGGTTCCAAATCTTCAGCACTAAGCTACAACTACCAAAAAAAAAAAGCTGAAGGAAAATAATTTGGGGATAGAGGCTTTCTTTCCCGTTTTTAAAACTGGAAGAAATCCATTGTACCTCACTAGTGCTTGAGAAGCAGGTATAAGCTTGTATCTTTGTAAAATGCTGGCATGTTTAAAATCCTTGGTTAATGCTCAGAAGGCACAGGGAACCACCCGAAGCGGTCTAGTGTCTGAGATTAAAATGTATTAATGTCATGTATCTGGCTGTTCGCTGTTACATCTGGCTAACATGTATGTTCACACATTTTACATGATTCACTGCAGTGATATGAGAAATTCAAAACAGAAGACGTTTTTAAATGTAGCTTTAAAGCTTTTGCCTACACAGTTATGTTTTGTTTTTAGACTAAAATTAACTTTCAGTCCCTGAGCACACAGTTAGCAAGAATCAGCAACCCCAAAGCAAGCTCGCAGGCAAAAGCTACTTTTGTATTAAGAATTTGCCACTGCTGTTCAGCAGTTTTTCACACTGTGGATTATGTATTTCAACATAGCTGGCAATTTCTCATTATAATCATGAACCAGCCGTGACTGGTCAGCATTGGAGAATGTTTGTGAAAGGAAAAGTCCAAGGAACTTCTGCTTTCCAGTACTCTGATGCAAAATATATCAAACTGTTCTTCCCATAAAATAAATAGGTAATCCCTGGAGACATTTCACTATCAAGATTGGCAAATTTTATCCTGAAAGGGGTATAAAGTTGGTGTGTGGAGTGGTAGGAGGGAGAGAATGAGAGCACTGTGGGGTGACGTTTTATGTGTGCCTTAAATTAATGAGAAAAATCGCCATCTTTGGCAAAGAGCCAACAACCACTGTTATCATTCTCATTACTTGATGTTTGCTATCCCACAATTAAAAGAGCATGTTCCATTTTCTTTCCTATTGATTATTGCCCAGTAATTGAGATGCATGTGTTTTGCCTTTGAAAGGTCATTGATTAACTTTTCTTGTTAACTCTGCATGTGGTCCCCTTTGCTAATGTCATTCCTGGTGAGGACAATAAATCCTCAGATCTTTTTTTTACCTATTCTAAAATTTGAGTTATGTCCCTTGATTCTCATGAGCCTAAAGAAAGATTTATTTGTTCTTTTTGTCTAGGGTTCACACGACTTGGTGACAAGATGAATGAACAGAAAAAATTAATGGCATTAGAAAAACAGTGTAAGTAATCTTTACTGATAATGATTTTTTTAGATCAATAACACTGTGCTAAATGACCTTCTAGATCCCACCCACTACTTAGCTTATCAATCAAGTTTCTTTCACATCCAAGGTCCTAATAGGTGCCTAAGGAAAGCAGAAAGATGGGAAGAAAGACCTTTGTTTCAACGACAAGCACCATCTAGTGGCAGCAGGGGACGAAACCTGTCTCCAACAAGAAGAAAGATGAAAGCTTTTGAATAGGCAGTCCAAGCAGTCCTGGCCTTGCATAAACATAGCACTCTTTGATTCTGAAACAGGAAAGTTGTCTGTGGTAAAATAATACTACTAATAAGCACTGTGTTGATTTTACAAAGTAAGTAGGGAACACATCTGACTGGCAGGTAGGATTACTGCCATGATGAGTTTTCTCAATTTTTGTGTGACTTTCTGTAGTCACATTTCTGTATAAAGACCTCTGTAGTTTTGCACTTAAGGGCCTCAGTATTTAAGTTTCCTAATTATATAAAATAAGGAGGGTGATGACTTGTCACCAGAAATTATCTAGAAAGCATTTTGTTCAACAAATAGCAGAACCCATAAATACAACTATTATACATGGTTTTTTCCCATTATTATATTTTATTGAAAAAGAAAAAAAGTGAAAGATATCATTGACAGACTGGTGCAGCCACTGTGGAAACAGTATGGAGTTTCCTCAAAAAACTAATATTGGAACTCCCATTTGACCCAGTAATCCCACTTCTAGGAATTTATCCCAAGAAATCAGAAACACCCATCAGAAAGGACATATGCACCCCTATGTTCATAACAGCACAATTTACCATAGCTAAGATTTGGAAACAGCCTAAGTGCCCATCAGCAGATGAGTGGATTAAAAAACTGGTATATCTACACAATGGAATACTACGCTGCAGTAAAAAAGAAGGAATTCTTACCATTTGCAACAGCATGGATGGAACTGGAGAGCATTATGCTAAGCAAAATAAGCCAGTCAGAGAAAGATAAATATCACATGATCTCACTCATTTGTGGAATATAATGAACATAAAATGATGAACTAAAACAGATCCAGAGACAGAGAAGCATCGATCAGACCGTCAAACCTCAGAGGGAAGGCAGGGGAGGGTGGGGGTACGGGGGAGAGATCAACCAAAGGACTTGTATGCATGCATATAAGCCTAACCAATGGACACAGACAGTAGGGAGGTGAGGGCATGTGCTGGGGGGTGGGAGCAGCTGGGGAGAGGTCAATGGGGGCGGGGGGAGGAGACTTATGTAATACTTTAAACAATAGAGAATTTAAATTAAAAAAGAAAGATATCATGGAATGTTTATCCTGGAGCTATACAAAATTATAACATTCATACATGTCTCATTTGGGGACCTAAACAAAAAGGTGGTAGTAGACATGTTATATCTCGTTACTAAAAACTTCAAAGAATGATCAGAAATATTTCTTAATATCAGCTCCTTTTTAAATATGTGGTTCATTTGGTGGAAGTTTAACAAACATTTTGCTACACAGAATAGAGATTTTCTTTGTGCTGATATTTGTTTTGACTTATAGTTGTTATTAAACAATCTTGCAAAAGAGTGATCATTAAAGTTGCCACTCTATAATTATTTTAGTCAACTACTGCATGATGTAAGGGTACGGAAAGGACAGAGAAGTTTACTTTTCCTCATCCTGGGACTAGCCTGGGATGAAGCTAAACACATAAATGGGTAAAGAGAGAGACAGAGATCACTTAAAGACCTCATTTTTGTTTCATTTACACTCCAGAAAGTTCATATTCAGCCTGACAAACTCCTGAATAAATTCAACCGACCTAGACTTATAATCCATATTTCCTCCTTCAAATTCCAGGTATAAAAATAACTGTAGCCCCTTTTCATGAGGAGAGAAGAAAGGTGAACACAGTTTTTGCAAGCTGTCAGCATGGCATGAGCTAGGGAAAATAATTTAATTTGGTTAAACATGGGCCATAAATTGCTTCACAGCTTAAGCTACTAAGCTCTCAACCACATCCAACTGTCTTTTAAACACATACCTAAAGTCAAGTGTTAGGAGAGGTTCTGACTCCTAAAAACAGGAGCCTATCTCTGTTCGTGCTGAGGAAGGCAAGTTATTCAACCTTTCCGGGCCTTCGTTCCCGCAATAAAATCAAGGGGCTTAAGATAATTATACACACACAAAATAAGAATAATTCTGACAGGACACCGGCATATGTTTCTCTAATGAAATGTGATAGAGAAACATACAGATCTTTCAGACAAGGTATTGACACATTCATTATGAATGCTCTGTTGAATAACCCTAGGCCAGAGTTTCAGCCTCTTCCTCCTACAGGAATTCTCCCATGGATCAGCACAGCCCAGGACACAGGCCTCTCTGTTTGAAAAGGAAAAGGAAAAATTAAAGTGAGCTCCAAAGCCACTAAAACCTACACCCCCTGATTCCAAAGATTGGTCTGATTTTAGGTGAGATAGCAGGGAATTGCATCCGTCTTCTCTGCCAGACCTGACTCCCACGGCCCTCGGTCTCTGCTAATCAATGTGTGTGCGCGCCAGACAGAGCGGTGCTTGTTCCTTTGTGTCCCGCTGGCCTCCCAGCCTCCCTGCGAGATGAATAAGCCCAGATGGCAGGCTGCTCTAAGGTTGCTCTTCCTTGTCTCCTGTGGACTGAGTCACATGGACACACCTGTTCCACTGCGTGGAGACAGGTTTTCTACAGATGAACTGACCACTGAATGGACCAGTGGTTCTCAACCTTCCTAATGCCGCGACCCTCATGTTGTGGAGACCTCCAACCATAAAATTATTTTCATTGCTACTTCATAACTGTAATTTTGCTACTGTTATGAATCGTGATGTAAATATCTGAT